GGATGATCACCTGTCTGGGGTCTTGTGACCCCAGCATTCATTCCTGCCTGTGGCAGGGGGTCAGGCTAGATGATCTGTTCAGGTCCCTGCTGACCCTAGCTACTATGAAACTGTGAAACTATGAAATTATTCATGACCAGTTTGTAATTTTTATTTAATTTGTTTGTGACTAAACTAGTAGTTGCTGTTGTTCTTTGTCTTGTGATTGGTCCCCTAAATCATGTGATTTTGCTTCTGCTCTGTGATTGGGTGAGCTAGCTGACCAGAGTGTTTGGGAATTATTTGTGCATATTTATACTTGTTCAAACCTACTGTGTGAAAAACTAAAACAGCCTTATAAAAGGTGAACAGGCTTCTAGCATGAATGCTCCAGTAAGCCATATTAGTCTCAAGTCAGGCAGAGGGTACCTTATAGTTTAATTCAAAGAAGCATAGGCTTTCACAGCTTACTTTGGCATACTTTGTAGCATCTGATTAAAGCAAGCTGTTAGTCTTTTATTGAGTTTTTGGTTTATAGGTCAAAATTACTTCCATTCAGTGGCCTAGTCCATGACCTATGTGCTAATCAGGTCCCAGTAAATTCTCAGACTGCTAGGCCCACTGTCTAGCAATTGCTGGAGATCATTTATCTGAGTTTGAGATTAATATTGTTACTAAAATATCTCTGAGGAGAGGATGAGATAATACTATAGGGTTTTTTTGGCATAGATGGGAATTAAGTGTGCTTGGGGGTTGTGCTGGCCAATTGCAAGAGGTAAATCTCATAATAGTTTGCATATGCATGAACTTCTGGAAATTTAGCCCATTGCCTGAAAGCACTCTGTATCTGAAAAGTGTTATAGTATCACTATTAGGTTATTGCTACTGACTACTGTGTTTGTGTCTTTTTTTTCCCTTTATAGGTAGATGTGAAACAACTGGGGCAAAGCTCTTGAAATCCTATCAAAAACTGAGGTAAGACTTGGAGAACAAAATGTCCTAGGACACTGAGACTATTATATTATATAAAACAGCCAACAGCTTAACTTTTCTGATTTCTAAAACAGCATATCTAAAGATTAATAAAACTTGGAATCAAGCTAAGTAATGTCATAGAAAGTTTAATGGTCTTTTGGTTTTTGTGCACCCTAGTGAAAAGACCCAGACTAGAGACAGAAATTACACATAAACCATGATTGAAAGCTACACACAAGTGATTGGAAACTGGTTCAAATCTGTAACGCAACGGAAGTTCAGTGCACATACATCACTTTCAAAATGGTCAAAACCAGTTTAAGATAAGCCTGGATGGATGTAGTATCAGACTTAACTGATTTAGGTTAAATCAGTTTATTGGCCTTCTGTCCCAGATCCCCTCCAGATTCAAGTTAACTTACAGTCCCCCAGCATCCCAGGATGCTTTGTACCTCCCCCACAAATCCCCTTTGCAGGGTGGGCAGGCTAGGCTGTCCGCTCCAACCAAGCAGGGAGGCATATTCTAGTACCCCCCGGCTTCTGGCCTGTGCCACTGCAGGCATTTGGCTACATTTCCAGAATCAAAAGTGAATGTCTGTTCACTTGCTTATCAGTTCAATCTACACAGCTTAGACTAACCTGAGAAAATTGAATCAATTCAGCCTCAGGCTTTTTGACTGTCTGTACTTAGCCACAGTGAACAGTAGAAAGAATCCTATTTTAGCTAAAGAATTTCCGTGCTTTAATTTTGGGAAATTGTAGGAATTACTTTTTTTTTTTTTTGCTGTGATCTTTTACATTTACAGCTTATATTTAAATGACTGGGGTTCAAAATACTAATTAAGACAGACAATAAAGGTACAGACACTCAGTAACCTAGCTAGAAAGATTTTTGCCTTTTGTTAGTTTTAGAATAAATATTAGATAGGAGTGTCTGTATTTGTTAAGGTTTATCAGCGTGTGCCAAGCATGTGAGCATACCAGTTGATTTCAAGCAAGTACTGTGTTACATTGGGGCACTGCCCTGTTGAAAGTAGTACTAATAATATGTGTATAAAGGAACCACTATATTCATCCCATAAAATGTATGTCTTGTGAATGGCACCCTGTTCCTTCAAAATTAGTAAATAAAAATAGATACAATTCAAAGCCAAACCAAGCGCTTCTGGTGGGATATAGGTTTGCCACCAGGAAACTTGTAGATGACTGGATACAACCGTAATGAGAGTCATGTAAGTACTCAAGACTTAGAAAGTACAGAAGACAATCATAGAGAAAGTGCATTGAGGGTTTGGATTGTGTTAGGATTGCAGGATCAAGTAGGAAATCCTTACCTGTTCTTTTTTATATACGGTAAGAGTCCTGAATCCAACTAGGAGATAATTTCTCTTGTACAAGGCCTTTGGAAGTCTGCCATAGGGCTGTCTTCTGTGGTTCCCTTCAGAAGCTCCGGTGCAGGTGGCAGGAAGAGGCATGGTTGGGGTAGGAAGCATGTGCCAGCAGTGAGGCTGAAGCATGTTCACTGCTGTCTACATAGCAGTCTGGGAAGGCTGCAGTAACTTAAGCCCTCACAACTTTATGCCAGCTGGACCAGCCCATGCCAGCTTAGAGCCCACTTTTCCAGGCTGCAAATTCTGTGCTGCCTCTCTCAGGCAGAGTTCTGAAATTGCAGGAAAGAGAAAAATGTGGGAGCAGCTGTAGCTATGACAGCATTGCAAATACATGCGGTGTGTATATATATAATTCTTTTGTCTTTTTTCTTGTTTTCTTCTCCTAGTAAAATATCTGTGGTTCCCCCTACTCCACCTCCCTTTACTGAATCCACGGCGGGAAAAAACACAACGGTAATGTATATATGTGCCACTATGTAAGATGTCTCTTAGGTTGTAATGGGCCAGTCACAGAAGTGTAGCAGATATCAGTATCTTTTATATTGCAATAAATAGCTAAACTGTAATATTCATGATGCTTTTAGTTCCTTTATCACTTTCCTTTATGAGGGGTTGCCAGTGTGAGGCAGGTTAGTGTGCCTTAAGGGACTTACTGCATTAGTCACCACCTTCTTAGTGTACATTATATCTCCTGCAGAAATGAATGAAGAGCAGATGGATTTTGATGGTTGTTATTTGCATCACAGTTTCTGGCACAGGGGCGGGCAATTATTTTGGGTGGAGGGCTGCTTACCCAGTTTGGCAGGCTGTTGAGGGCTGCATGGGTTGCCCCACCCCCTGGTCATCATCTTGGGACCAATGTCTTGGGACCAATGTTCCAGGGCCAGCACCGGTGGAGCCCAAAGCAGGGCACAGGCTGGCAGGTGTCTGTGGAGCTGGGCTGGGCTGCACCAGCAGGGAAAGGGGGGAGTTGGCCCAGCTCCATAGAGGCCCTGCCGGCTGGGACCCTGTGCTCCTGCCACCCTGCTCTGGGCCCTGCAGGCACTGGCCCTGGGACACCAGTGTGGGGCCCATGTTCCTGCTGCCTTCCACGCCCACTCACACCCAGTGCCCGCCAGCCCCACAGTACAGGCAGGGGGGGGGGGCAGGAGCCGCG